GTACTCAGCAGACTGCGGGCCTCAGGCAGTAGGTAATGTTTTAGGTTTAGGAGTGGAAAGTGGAGAGAGCAAAGGGCTGTGGGGGTGGGGGAAGAGGCGGGTGGGGGAGGTGCAAGCCAAAGCACCAGTCTGCAGGTCTAGATTTAAGAGTGATACATTCTCCATTCACTTTGAAATTTCTCCCTACTGTAGTGTTGAAGAACCAAAATATATTGTGATGTGTTCATTAGGCAATCTGGAGGCAGGAGGCAGTGAGGGCTGTCATCTTTGACGGCCTCAAAGTCTTAACAGGACTCCTGAAGAAACTGTTGAGAGGCTGGTATGCACACAGAAGCTCTGTGGAGCCCTGAAGAACAGACGAATATTTGTTTATTCTGGTTTCCATGGGAAGGTCACTTCGACTACAACTACTTCCTGTGTGGTTTCAGGCCGGTGTGTATGAGTAGCTGGCTGAAGCTTGCAGGTTACCACCAAGGCTCTGGGTGTCCGAGGACCGCAGGCAGAAAGGTATTGAAAGCCTGCACTTTGTCTTGCTCATGGATGAGTCAAAGATGAGGAACCAGAGGAAGCGGGAGACAGACTCAGTGTGTTACTTGGGTTGTGGAGAAAATAAGGATGCTTCTAACTCAGACCCCTGAGCTCTCTCATTCACAGTTGCCACTGTCACATGTCATTTAGGTTCATACACAGCATGCTCTTGTGACATTCTGCTCCATTGTACTAACACTGATGGAACTTTCCAGTTCCTGCTGCTTCTCTCCCTGCCTTCAGGCCTAGCCTCTATCCCATCTCTATACCCATGGCCCTAGACCTTTGCCCCGTTAGAGTAATTTGAAGATTGAAAGCTCTCTCATATGCAACTATCCTAGCAGAGTTGTTCAAATGTTTGTCTGTCTTCTGCCAACTTACTTTTATTAATAGCAAAAACAAAACCCCAAACAAAAAACTCTAAAAGGAATTGCTTATGGGCTTTCCTCAGTCTATTCGCCTTGAAATGAGGGTGTTTTTGAAGAGAAAATAAACTCAGCTGAAAAATACTGCACGGAGGGGCGGTTCCAGAGTTAAGAGTGAGGGCAAGCCTCGAGTGGGTTATAAGCACACTCCTTTCTTCAAGTTTAAGCCAAGAAATGTAGGAATGGTTATGGTTTCTTCCTTGTCTTAGAGAAACTCCAGGGGTAGCTTGCTTACAACAGTGGGAGCGAGTGCCTGGTCAGACAGGAGGACTGGGCCTCAACACTGTCATGGTCCCTTGAGACTGTCCCCTGACAAAGAAATCCCCTGTTTGTGTTCATTCCTTTTAAAACTCAGCCCCTCTTTCCATTCTCCACTGGACATCTACTCCACAGTCCCAGGTGATGATCTGTTCAGACAGCACTGGACAGTGTTGGGGAAAGGATGGACACCTAAGCTGCCTTGTGGCCCTAAGGATTGCCCTGCAGAGTCTGGTGTAGATTTCCCCTTGCTACTTAGAGAGGGAAAAAGTCTGTCTTGTCACTGTCCTTATCTCTCTCACTGAATGCATGACCAGTGTCATGTGGTGTGATTGTTTACCTGAAGGCTTTCTCATCAGACAAATGAGTTACACGGTGGTGTCTGGGGAGGAAGGGGAACTTCTTTCTGGTCTCTGAGCACATTCTAACCTCTGAGACTAGTTTCCATGGTTATTTGAGCAAACACTGAAAGGGCTTCAGTTACTTAAGGTACCCAGTATGTGGTCTTCCAGCTCAAACAGTGTTTGGGAACTCCTGAGGACAGTAAAGATTGAAGTTGCAGAAACAGAAGAGACAGGGATGGTTTGGATATTGTCATAAAAGATGAAGTCTAGCTGAGTCTCTTCAAGAGCTGGAGTTCGCCCCAGGAGCCACTCCAAGAAGATTCAGCCTTTATGTGTGATCTTTTCATTTTATGTCTGCCATCATTTGAGTACTGCATTTGTCCTTGTGTACAGACATCTGGGTGATACCAACCTTAGATGGAACTGGGTATCCCCGAAAAGAAAGCAGTGGTGCCTGGGTTCTGGTTCCTCTACAAACCGGCTGTATGACTATGGCACTCACTTCCCCTCTCTGAACCCCAGTTTGCTCATCTCTCAAGTGAAAGGGCAGGGCTGGTTCATCTCTAGAGGTTTTGTTTTTCCATTTGAAGTCTCTGACTCTACAGTTACTTCCTCTTCTTCATCAACAAACAGCCTCTGTTCACTTAAAAGTCTTGATGCTGGCACAATATTCAAACTCCACTATGCTGGAGTATGAGATACACATGAATCTTTTCAGGATACAGGCTTCCATGGTTGGGATGAGAGAAAGCCACGAATATACCTTAGTTATAACTGATGTCCAGATTTAGAACTACCACCTACTAAACTGGTACCTTCATGAGGATTAGAAAAAAAGAGTCACCTGTGGGTTGACTCAGATATAAGGCTGGTGGGTCAATGGCCTACCAGAATTCTGGCCACTTTTAGCCCCATGAGGTCTCAGAAGTTCTTATGCAGTGAACAACCTGTATGCACACATATTACCAGAACATTTCTTCTTTGGGTTCTGGCCCTTTTGGTTGAGCCATAGAAAAGGAGAAGGATGAGGTGAGGCTAAACTAATGCACATTACTGATAAGATGGAGAGAGACTTTTGTCATTAGTGCCTTAAAATAGTACATGTGATTAAAAGAGCACCAAATCTAGTCCATGATGCTGCTGTGTCCTGCACCAACACACCCCATCTGGTTTAGGTAGCTTCAAGAGATAATAATGATAAGCCCTTACATTTTATAGAGCCTTAAAATTTATGTAGCACATTAAATGTACTTACTTTTTCAATTGGATTCTGATCCTAACCATTGCCCTGGTGAGTAATAATTATCTCTGTTTTAAATACAAAGGAAATGAAGCTGAGTGAGTCAAGGACTTGTTCAAGGGCAGTTGATAAGTGATCCAGTCAGGTACTGAACACACATCTGTCTAAAAATGCCCATGCAAGTTGCCTAAGATCTGGACCTGGGCACCGACATTCAGATCTAAAAGCAACTCTGCCAGGGTCTGGAATCAGTCTCATTGGCTTATTCTCTTCATTCTGATGAAGACAGGTCTCTCACACAGGTGAGGTGGCTATACATTCTGGAGCAGCGGTAGCAGATCGTACAACGTAGTATGGCTGGAAAAAGGCATCTCACTCTTGGCAGCATAGGATGTAATCCCCATTCCCTGCTGTTCCTCCACCTGCCATTGAGTTTGTGACAGCTTTTTCCTTTGCCCACAGTACCTCTTCCATGGGAAATGCTAGCCATTTTCAAGATCCTGCTCACACACTGCTTCTGGGGTGCTTACTTCCCAGGTGACCCCTGCTCATCCTTTGGATGGTTTCACCATTACTATTCATATGATGTACATAGTTCTGACTGTAGTTTGTTTCTCAGCACTGATTTGCCAGTCTGGGGCTCTTCAAAAGCAGAAACTATGTCATCACCTTAGATTCCAGAGCTCTGGCACATTGGCAAACACACAGTAGGTGCAGTAAAGCTCAGTGAATGGATGGGATGTCCTTCCTCTATGATAAAATCGATAAAGTAGCTTGCTGAGTGTTTATTATCTTCTTGATTTTGATCCTGAGGCTTTTGCCTCTTTTCATTCTATAGGCAGAATGATGACAATGAAGGCCAGAGAAACATTTGTTTTGTAATGGGCCTCTTCGCTAGAACTGTGTTATGAGTAAAGATGGGGAGGCAGAATTTCAGGAAAAGGGAGGCACTGGGCCAAGGGAAGGCCTATCAGACTAAGTGGTTGATAGATCTGAATTAGTTCAAAGGTAGGAGAGAGAACCTTGCAGAATTTTTCCACTTACACATAACTCTATAGAATATGAAGGTTTACTTAAAAAAATGACACTAAAAAACCCTACAAAACTCCAAACCAGAACACAGAGCTGTGCTTAATGTAGCAGTGCCTTTCAGTTGCAGGGTTCTTTAGGTGGCATTGGTAAACTTTGCAAAAAGGGTTTTAAGGACAAGATGCACCCATGTAGCTTTTAAGTCTTGTTCTTGGTCCCCAACAGGACTTCAGAATGAAGGTGACTTAAATGAGCTTTAGCTTCTTATGAATGCAGCACAGAGGCTTTGGAAGGCAGGCATTCTGGAGATGCTTAGGCGGTGCCTTCCTGTCTTTCCTCATTGAGCATGAGCAGACTGGGAAGAGCAGGCCCTCAGGTTCCCAGTGGCAGACTGCCTGGCGTTCTCTGTTAAATTAGGACAAGCACTCATCCCTGCTTCAGGTTCCCTTTAGTTAGGCAGGGCTGGTGTTCAACATCAGGGCTATCTATCCTATCTATCGGGCTATCATTTACTTAACTATTATTACACAAATCATTCCTACAAAGCCCTTTCAAAACGGAAAGGACCTGCTGTGTGCTCCGATCTACCTTCGCGGGTGGGAAGAAGATCAAGGACCATTTAGAGAGTTAGAGAAGTTCAGAAAAAATCTGTGTCACACAAATTCTCTGGAAACTCAGAATAGCACACAGGTCTCACTCCACCCCTTGGCTCCAGGCCGCGTTTTCAGTTTGGTCAGTTTCTTAGCCCCGCTGAAATTCTAGTTTCTCTTAGAGTGATTAAGAAAAATGCAAACCGGTATGATTTTAGGAGCATCTCAGATACTGACTTTGCCCGTGGAGACAGTGTTTATCTGCTCCTTTTCAAGAGGCTCCTACCCGCAGCTGGTGTCAACTGGAGTTGAGAACTCCACCCCAAACTCCAGAGGAGCCCATGTGGCAGGCCAGGAGCGGAAAAAAGTTGTAAGACCTCTAGGAGGAAAGTTAGCTAGAACGAAAGCAACCCGGCAAGAGGCTTCTTAGAAATAACCCTTTTTATCTCACTTCTTCTCTCTGGGGCTGATTTCACCCTTTTGCAGAAAGAAGTGAGTGGGAAGTCCCCTTCCACACCAGGGGCAGATGCCAAATGTATTCTGAAAGTAACAGCACAAAAGCACTATAGAAAGTTTTGAAACTCACCTTTGGGTCCGCTGTAGGGCTTCCCGCATGTGGGACTGCTGGGTCTGCTCGGGTGCTGTCTGGAGTGACTTGGGCACAAGGTCTCAGTCCCTCCTCCAACTCCTCCCCGCCACTGCCAGGTCCTGGGAGGGAGGTGGCGCTGCGGATCAGTGGGTGCCACCTGTGTGGTGTGTGGAGGAAAGCACCCCCTGTGTTCCCCGCTGAGGCTTCGCGGCACCCAGTCCTGCTCCTGAGGTCAGGAACTCAACTTCCTGAATCTGACTGGCTGACTCCGCCGCTCCCCAGCCCAGCCCACGCCTTAAACTAGGACGAGCACGCCACAGCCGCAGCCCAGTCCCCTTCCTCCGGGGCTCCCGGCCAGTGCCCCCCCAACCCCGCCCCGCTGTGACGTACTTTTGCCCCTCCGCCCCGAGCACGCCTCCTTCAGGACTCCGCCAAGCTCTGCTTGACCTGACAGAGTCAGCTTTACTCACAGATGCCCTAGTGTTCCCTGAGACATGGGGTGTGAACAAACTCCCTATCCTGGTAAAGGGAAAACAACAGCCCGGTGCTGCACCTAAGGTGACCACCGTCTAGGAAAGGGGATGGAGTGTCTTAAGGGAGAGCAGGCTGCATTGTTTCATCCCCGTGTGTGTGTGTGTGTGTGTGTGTGTGTGTGTGTGTGTGTGTGTGTGTGTGTGTTCATTCCAAGGCATCGCCTGGAAAATCTTCGAAGACACTGAGGAAAAGTGATAGGAGCCACCTGAAACTGTTAGGAGCCCAGAAAGCGGGGACAACTAACTTCAAATAGTTCTCAGGAGTTCTCCCCTTTTATGACATTCATTCTTCGTGTGCTTATATTTAGATCTCTTGGGTCTAACTCCATAAAGGCTCTGATGATATAGAGCATATTTAATGTCTCCCAAATCTTGCAGAGGGAAGGTGGAAAGCGTCATGTATCCAGGAGCGTCCCCGGAATCCCCTTAGGAGATCTTGCCATCAGAGGTGGGATTCTGCCCATTGGGTTGTAGGTGCCAGGTGCAGAGAGGCAGCCTGCTTTTCAGAGGCTGCACCTGAGCCATAGGGTCCCTTTGGCCTTGCGTGGCTGAATTAAAATGACTGGTAAAACCAGCTGTCACAACCGAGAAACAAGAGTGTTCTTCCTGTTTACTTAAGAGAAGCCAGCTGGCCCTGGGTCAACCGGACAAAGAGAAGGCCCTGCACTCGTCCAGAAAAGCCAAGAATAGTTAGGTGATGGTGGTGGTGGGGTCTTTTAAAGGCACATTAATTAGATTAATTAGAGATCTTCCCAGAAATCCTGGCAGAGAGAACTTGACCTAGATCTGCTGTTGTTTGTTTGAAACCAAGTCTCACTATATAGCCCTGGCTGGCCTAGAACTCACCCCATAGACCAGGCTGGCCTCACGTTCCAGTTTGGCCTCACAAAGTTATGCCCAGCTATGCCTCCTGAGTATTGGAATTAAAGATGTGTCCCATCATGCCCTGCATCCATCTAGATTTGAATAAGAAGAGGAAGAGTGGTCCCAGAGATCTGGGGTCCAGGAATTAGTCTGGTTGAGTGGGTGGGGAGAGGAAGGTCAGGTTGTGAAAGAAGACAGGGTTCTTAGCAGGACACAGCCATACACAGACTCTACCAACAGCTGGGGTGTGTGTGGGTGTGTGTGGGGATCCCTAGATTGAGGGCTTCCCTGGTATGTCACATCTGAAGTCCCGGTCTGGAGTCCAGTGGAGCCGGGGGCTAGAGGAAGACAGACTTGGGGAATGACAGGAAATCTTAGGCGCAAACCTGGTGATTGGAGACTGAGTTTCTCCCACGACCTACAGCTTTAAACAGTCTATCATTCTGCTGACACCTCCCTTTGACCCTCCCTTTGAGGATGGTAAGTCACTTTCTTCCCCCAGGTCACAGCTAATGTCCCCATCATCAGGAGAAGGAATGCTTCTGCGGATTGGGCTGATGTGAAAGTGTGCGTTGACACCTACTGGTCGGGGGAAGACTGGGGAAAATACTTCCCTGAACAGCTTTATTGACGGGTTCAGGCTGAGGTGACAGTCACATTGCCTTTCAGGAAAACAAAAGCAGCGTCACAGAGACATGGAATGAAGGAACTAGGGGAGGCAGCTCAGTGTTTTTTGAGTACAACTGTTAGATGTGGAAGACAAACCAGATGCTTAACTATAGGGTGGCATCTCAATGCTGTCTTAGTTCCCAGGGAGACACATCTAGTAAAAGGACAATTTGGGGACCTGATAGATGGCAAGATGGCAGCTGTGCTGTCACTGAATTGTCAAGTCTACAGGGTCTGTTGTGGTTCAGACACCACGAGGAAGATACATCTATGGCATGAGCAAAGGAGTGAACATCGGACCAGGGGGTTTTCATTCTGGATGGATGACGCATCCCTTAGGAAAAAGGAAGTCAGAGCATCCACCTACTGTTTCACCCCTCTGGCAGTGAACTCTCAACTCTTATATGAACTCATGAACGGCCCTAGGCAACCACAGTGCTGTTCCGGCTTTTAAAAATCCTCATTAGTTTTCTTGTCTTTTGGTGTAGATCTTTGAAGGTGGTCAAGAGGTTAGGGGGCTCCAATCGGAGCATTAAGACATCAAATTAAGAAAATAAAAGCCCCAAATAGCAGATCTGTGAACCAAGACTGGAAATTTAAACCCCCATGGTGGGTGACCACCCCTCACTAACTCTAGCACCCAATCAGCTCTGGTTCCATATCATAGTGCTTCAGACAAAAACTGCTGGCTCCCTCCCAGATGTTCTGCTAACCAACAAGACATTAAACGTTGGATTTCAGCCTGCTTTGAAGGGGAAGATTGACCTCACTTGTTCTGTCTTGGTAATGTCCTGTCTCAGCTAGGTCAATGGCAGTGTTGGCCAGCATGGATTCATCTGTGCAAGCCACCTGTGGGAGACAGTGTCCCATCAGGTCACACACTCAGAACAGTGCTGTATAACAACAACAACAACAAAAGCGGTGTCTTCATCAGAGTGGGAAATATTAAATGGAGGCTGTTACATCATTATTACCTGAAACTGGGGCATTCTTGCCTGTGACAGTGTATGATGCTCAGGCCTGCCAGATAGTGTTATCTATAACATTCACACCTAAAAACCATGAAAACAGGATACAAAAAGATTGAAATAAACACACACACACACACACACACACACACACACACTCACTCCACAGTGTTCTAGAGGCAGTTTATGATTTTGTGCTGGTCTGCATATAGAGCTGTCTTTGGTTCCATTGTGGCTCTGGGGCAAATATTGAGTTGGACAGTCTCCGCAGAGGTGAGAGCAGTGCTATTAAAAGAAAGTAGAAGGGTTGCTGGCCAGACAGAGGGTGTTAGGGGGAAATGATGAAACTGTAGGTGGTGTAGGCAAGATGAGCGCAGACTTGTTCCTCAGATCCTAAAATGCAGCTGCGGCTGAGAAGCTTGAGAAAGGCAAGTTCAGGACAAGTCTGTGGAAATACAACTTCACACAGTGGGTAATGAATCTGTGGAATGGAATGGATTATCTCCCAGAGGTGGCCTAAACTGGTACTGTAAGTGGATTCCAGAAAGCTTTGGACAGACATATGAATGGCAGAGCTGTAACAGAGAGGCTAGGAAAGCTGAGAAGTACACCAAGTGGTTGGGAGTTCAAGGTGGCCCCACAGTATGGACCTCTGGTCTTTGTAGCCAAAGGAGTCCTGGCCTCTGGGTGCTTAGATTTGAGCCAATGGGCAGCCCAACCCTCCCTCCGCATCTCACAGCGTCTGTAGCCTCTGCTCCTACAGACAACAAAGCTGCTCTTTTTACCTAGGCCTTACTCGTTAAAACACGTTCCTCTTTCATCTTGGCTCTCAACTTCTGAAAAGATTTTGAATATGTCTTCAGACGGATTATTGTGTATATCTCTCACAGTTAGATTTCTGTCAGACTTTCCTCCTAAATTATCAAATTTGAATATAAATGACTCTCATTTTGAAAGCTCCTCTGCAGAAAAGCACTAACAATACACTTTTCTTGGGAATACTTCGTGCATCATCCAAAGTGTCCTCACTGCTACATGAGGGATGCTGGGCAAAAATGTTGCTTTCACGGCCATTGCGCCAAATCTTGGCATTGGCAGTGGAGGGGGGATTAAGGAAACTCTTGGTCTTCTCTTCTAACAACCGACCTGTCTCTCCATCCCTCTGCTCCATGTACTCTAAGCCTTCTTTAGTGTTCGTAAATGTTGTTGGAAACAGCACTCTGGCCTACCTCCTTGAGTATAGGCATGACTCCGAGGGGGTAGTTTTTGTATTTCTAGGCACTAAGTTTTCATTTTCAGTCTCTGGTTCAGAGCAGCCCCAGCACTGTTTTCAAAGCAGTTTTGTTTCACAGTGATATGGCCTGCCTTTGTGAACTGGCAGCCCTGCTGCTCAGAGGCAGCATCCCTTTGCTGGATTTGACCTCGGCTTTGTTAATGTAAACAGTGGGCTTCTGGATTCCGTTCTTGTGGCGGCATATCAGAGCAGGAGAGCCCACAGAGTTCTCATTTTGCCTCTTTCTGTGGTTTACCTCTGTCACCTGCTCTTCTTGTGGGGATGGGTTTAATTATTGATTTGCTGAGTGAGTCCACTGTACGGGGTCCCAAAGCCTACATAGAGCAGGTGGAACATTTCCTGTCACTTTGTTGGAGAGCTCCCTGGGAAACCTCTGCTTCCTCTGCCCACCTCATTCATTCTGGCGGCAGGTTTTGTGAAGGTTGAAACTGTTCAGAGCCTCTTGCCCTGAGGGCCCATGAAATAACTGTGGCTTTGAAATTGGCTTCCTTGACTACTTTAGTGACTCAGAACATCAGTGTTGCCATAAACAAACTTCCTGTCCCTGGGGGTGGCTCTTTCATAACAGGTAAAAGGAAGGGCTTGAAAAGAAGAAAAAAAGAAAGAAAGAAAGGAAGGAAGAAAGATGATGAGAGAGCCCTCATTTACCAGGTTGAGGGAGTGAGCTGTTTCTGGTTTAGCTAGTGGATGTATTGCTTTCTTTGGGCCAAGTTCTGTACTATGTGTCGGTAGAAAACTGTTTATAATGAAAGGTTACACTCTGTAATTTGGATTTAACGGCAGTAAGACTGGAACACTCAAAGAAATTTTCTTAATAAAGGTGGATTGACCAAAATATGGAGGTACAAAGGAATCTGAAAATACAGTGAGTGAGCGATTGATCTCTGGCTGGGTAGACCATGAACAAAGGTGTTAATATGGAACAAACATTGCAAGACTCCCCCCGTCCCCCTCTGACAGGTTCAAAATTATGAAGGAAAGCATTATCCATAATTTTAGTAC